ATCGCATCAGGTGATGTTATATGTGCTCGCATCTCATGGCGGAGAGCTTCTGTAGGCGCATCATTCATTCTTGAGCCACCTTGTCGACATGCTTGACACGGCCTGGCTTAGCTATGTTCGATATCTTGCGCTATGTTTTGTCTCTGTGTTATAATTGCTCTACATTCTGAGCCTGGTGTCTATGTCAAGCGATGAAGCGCATGTCGAGATTACGTATGATGCGAGGTCAGTTGGAATAAGAAATGCTCCGATTATATATTAGCGTTCATTTATTTTTATAAAGAAGTTGCGTGTACTTGTGTACGAAATTCTGGTTCTACTGCCCATGTCCAGTGCTTGGGTTGTACCATACTCTTTGTGTGGACATTCGGTTTGTACTGACAGCTGCGTCGCTGAGGCTGCTTTCTTGTTGAGCTGGTATTTTGCCGATATAGGGTCTATTTTAGCGCCTTTTTCAGCCTTTTTAGGTGATATGATCCTATCATCCAACATGTGGGGTAAAATGTTGGTTTTACTAGTAGTCCTGTCGCACTACTGAGCGAAGGAACATCAGAACTCACCAACAAAAGTGTTATGTATTGTGATCATACAACTACAAGCCTGAGCCTGCGTGAGATTGTAGTAGATACCCTAGGGCAATGAAACACGTCGCAACTCACTAACAAGGCAATACACATTTTGTTCCAACAGCTACATACCTGAGCTTGCGTAAACACCTATAGCGCCGGAGTATGGCAACATACTAATAAAACATTGTATATCGTAATCATATAGTTACATACCTGAGCCTGGGTAAGATGGTTGTAGACACCCGCATAGCGCTGAACAAGGAGAATCCTGGTCTGCACCGCGACGAGGTGGCCCAGTACGAGTCTTCGCAGAAGGTCACTCCGGAGATGTTTGATGCCGTGAGTTATTACTTTCCCTACGCATACGGTGCTTACAAGAGTAAGGTACGGTGCACGTTGAGTTTTTAGAGTGTGAATGTGCGTAGGTGTGTGCATTGTATGTGGCTGCTACATATTCTACAATGGTCTCAGGAAGCACATGGAGCACATGGTTACTCATTATATGCGAGATTTGCGGAGGTAGATTTGGATACACACACACACACACACACACATACACACACACACA